ACAGAGCACGAGCATGGGAGGGGCAGAGAGAGGATGAGACACTGAATCTGAAGCAGGCTCCAGGCTCTGAGTTGTCAGCACAGAGCCCGACGTGGGGCTCAAATCCACAAACCGCGAGATCATGACCTGAGCCAAAGTCGGATGCTTAACCGACTGAGCCACTCAGGCGCCCCAGAATTTTTCAAATTGTTAAGATGAGAAGCTATGATATTTGTTTCTTCTGAGATTAACACTGATAGGATTCAGGAAGCTGAATTTACTATTAAATTCTGCCAAGGTCCTTGACTTTTCATTAGTATTTATCATATAAATCAAATACTACACACCACACCACACCCTGATCTATGGTACCCTCTCTATATGCCACAATCTACCATCCCGTGATGCTTTTAAAATACATGTACAAAATCTCTGGTACTCCTCCTTTCAAGAAGGGGAGCGTATTTCCTTGCCTCTGAAGCACTTTGTGACTTATTTCTAATGAGCAGAATAAAGTGGAAGTAAAGGTATGTGATTTTTAGAAACTAGGTCATGTAAAGCACTGTGGCTTTCTTGTTGCTCTCTTCTCTTGGATCTCTTACTCTCTTACTTTGAGGAAATTATTGGCCAGGTTGTGAGAAAAGGCCATGGAGATGTTTCCTGCCAACAGTCATTTGAGTGAGCCATCTTGGACGTGGATCCTCCAACCACGCCAAGCCTTCAGATGACTGAAGCCCTTGCCCACATCCTAACTTCAGTCAAATGAGATCTTGAACCAGAACTACCCAGCTAAGTCACTTCCAAATTTCTGACCCACAGAAACTGAAATAATAAATATTTGTTGTTTTAAGTTGTTAAGTTTGGGCATAAAATTCGGGGTACTTTGTTGTATGATAGATAACGCAATGACCCCTTTGCCAAAACCGTATCTCCTCAAGAAAGACTGTGCAAACTATGGTGGTATATGAGAAGTGAAATTCAGGTTTTCCACTAAACTGAGTACTTTTTCTCTAATGTCTCTAAACTAAAGCAGAGTATTAAGGGCCACCCAATTATACAAGCTCTGCTGTCGTGACTTCCTTATGTCCTTTTAGAAGTCGAAGAATTCTTGCATGTTCTTTGTGGAGGAGTACCATGAACAGAGGCCGATCTACAAATTTCATGTTTCTCAAATAAAATTTTCTAAAAGGGCTTTTTTCCCCTCAAATGCCCTTTTCCTCTGCTTTTTGTCTCATTTTCCAGGGCAGCCTGGCATTATGGCATTATTTCCTCAAAGTAAGAAAGTAAGAGATCCAAGAGAAGAGAGCAACAAGAAAGCCACATCATTTGCCATAATGCCATAATGTCATTTGTTGCTGTCAAATATCCTAACCAAATCCTGAACAAAATAAATAGTCAAAAGAAAACAAATCCTCAAACAACTCACCAAACAGAAGGAGGAAGGACTGTGAGCGGTTAGCAGTAGCTTCCTTGTGTTATTGGTTCAAAGCATTTCTATTAACTTATTCTTTACAGAGGCTAGGCCAACTGATTGGGAACGTGATTTCTAGAAATTGTTTAGTTTTTAAAAAGACTAATTACATAAAATTATATTGGAAACAGAAAAAAAGTGAACTGTACCATTCTCTTAGCCATTTGTACACGCTGCCTTTCAGTTTCTACACGTACATGCACACTTTTACAAAGCTGCAACTGACAACCAATATGCAATTTTTCATTTTGGAAAAACCCTGATACATCCAAAATCAAAATTCTTTAGGAAAGGGTTTCACTTGTATTAACTAAAACTGAATTGAGTTTCAACTGCTTAATTGGCCAGTATTTTTCTAAATGAGGCCTATTTTTTTTACAATATACAGCCAGCTCTCAAATATTCAATAAATCCAATTCCTTCCTTCTTTTGGAATATATTTCTTCCTTTTAATCTGTTGCATATTTAGTGCTCATTAGCACTTTGACTCTAGATAAAGATGAGAAACCGGAAATATAAGAGTTAATTTATTTTTATTAAATAGTTACAGTATAAGAAGACTGAGTTGATGAGCTATTCCAAGTATTAAATATGTGGCTGTCACATAAATGTTTCCCCTATTAGTAAAGATCATTAAGAGAACTCACTAGATTTATATTTCTCACTTTATTTTTTCCTCTATTGTCTGTTTACAAATAAAGTTACAATTGTGCAACATTATTAATTCTTTGGAAATAAGCCATCTCTGACATAATTTCTATTACTAACACTTAATGTAAGCCAGATATCCAGGTAGTATATATTTTATAGACAAAAGACATCTTATAAAAATAAAACGAATGTAATTTAAAAAATAATTCAGAAGGGGGCGCCTGGGTGGCGCAGTCGGTTAAGCATCCGACTTCAGCCAGGTCACGATCTCGCGGTCCGTGAGTTCGAGCCCCGCATCGGGCTCTGGGCTGATGGCTCAGAGCCTGGAGCCTGTTTCCGATTCTGTGTCTCCCTCTCTCTCTGCCCCTCCCCCGTTCATGCGCTGTCTCTCTCTGTCCCAAAAATAAATAAACGTTGAAAAAAAATTAAAAAAAAAAAAATAATAATTCAGAGGAAGGTTCCCACTGAACACTTACTGACTGAAAAATAAACCCTAAACCTTTCATAAACAATGACAAATTACCCAAATATAAAATAAATTAAATTACTAACATATCTAAGAGCCTTTTACACCATCCTGTTTGTTCTAACCAAGATTAATATTTTCAAAAATGCCTTCTGTATATTTTGAACTAGAGATATTTTATTATCTTCAAAGAAATGTTATAACTGGAATATATGTAGGAATTTTGATTAAAAATTGATGGTAAATAATCACATTTCAAAGTCTTCAAAACAAGGGGCACCTGGGTGGCTCAGTTGGTTAAGCAACCAACTTCGGCTCAGGTCATGATCTTGTAGTTCCTGAGTTCAAGCCCTGCACCAGGCTCTGTGCTGGCAGCTCAGAGCCTGGAGCCTGCTTTAGATGCTGTGTCTCCCTTTCTCTCTGCCCCTTCCCTGCTCATACTGTATCTCTCTCAAAAATAAATATTAAAAAAATTTTTTTTAAGTAAAAAAAAGAAGTCCCCAAAACATGAAAATGGAATGTAAATATTGTTTACTTAAGCACTAAGTTTATGTGCTGCCATTTCACAGTAATTCAATTATTTTATAATGCACTATAATAGACCCAATCATAAAATTGTATTTCAGAAGTCAGAATCACTGTTTCTGAATTTTGTCTTTTGCAAAATAAACTGAAACATATTCCAGTGCCAGAGTTTCTTGTGTTTATCAGCATTTTTAGATAAATGGAAATTGGAGTGAGGGTGAAGAGAGCTGGATGATTCAAATAAAAAAACAAGATTGATTTTTAAAAAATGAAAGGGGAGATACATTAGAGAACTTCTCATTCTATTTTTTATATATATTTATATATATATTTTATATAATTTTATATATAGAAAAGTATTTAAACTGGGTTTCTCATATTTGATGTTAAATAAAAACAAATGACGACAGTCTTAGTTATGGGATCGATAAATGAATAACCTTGGCACACAAAGCTAAAATCTTCTACCATATTTAGAAGAAAAGAAATAAATATAGCATTCTTGACTTAATTGGTCTTGTGGATGTTAAGAGTCCTCATTAGTTAGGAAATCTTATTTTATTGAAAAGCTATTTCATCCTTCTAAAACCTAACTCATTAAAAAATTCCTTTTTAAACACACATTTCAAGGATTCATAAAAACATGGAAAATAATATACATCTATGTATCTAGTACCCTGATTTAACAAGTGTTAACATTTCACTTCAGTAGTTTTCTTTAAAAAAAGAAAAGTTATAGATACAACTGATCTTTTATTTTATTCCCTTCCCAGAATCAGAGACTCTTCTCTCCCCAACTATGGAGGTGATCATTTTTCTAAGAAAGTTGTGGAACGTTCTTGTCCATGTTTTTATACTTTTACTACATACTTGTGTTTTTAGAAACAGTGTCATAATATTTTATATCTGAAAAAATTTACATAAGTCATTCCCATTTTATCATTTTGTAATTTCCACTTTTTGTTCAATACTGTTTCTGAAATCTAGGCATACTAATATATAAATGTTTGGTTAATTTTAATTTTTCTAAAGTGTTTCCTGTAAAGGTGTACTGTTCTGCCACTGATGGATGTTTAATTTGTTTCTAACCAACATCCTTATACATGTCTCCTTGCAGAGATATGGAACGTTCCTTCTTATATTGTTTCAGTGAAGACTTTTGCTGAACTGGTTAGGTGGATTTTTTAAAAAATTAAGCACAGGAAATTTAAGAACAAACTAGAATGTTATTTTCTAATCCAGAATCATCTGTGCCTTACTACCTACCTTAGTTAAATGTTTTATTTCTTTGTGATATAGAAAAGAGAATACTAGGAAACATGAACCCTAAGCCTTTATTTTACCTGGAAATAGTGCCTGTATTTGAAATATGTAAGTCATTTGTTTGTGTACATCTACAATTTGTTTAGAATTCCAGTGGTGGATCTACCGCAGGAGAACAAAACAAAGAAGCACATGTGTTATGTGTCAGCATTTGAATGTTGCTTTTTGAAGCAATGGTAGGAGTGAAAAAAATCTCCTCCACCTTCTCCCTTGCTCTCGCCCACCCAAATTCGATAGAATACTGACTGAATAATTCAGTAAGTCTGTGGAACCCAATTTCTCATTTCTTATTTTCTTTAAAAAAAATTTTTTTTCAATGTTTATTTTTGACAGAGAGAGAGAGAGAGAGAGAGAGAGAGACCAAGCACAAGTGGGAGAGGGGCAGAGAGAGAAGGAGACATAAAATCTAATAATGAAAGCAGGCTCCCAGCTCTGAGCTGTCAGCACAGAGCCCGATGCGGGGTCTGAACCCACGAACTGCGAGATCATGACCCGCGCAAAAGTTGGGCGCTCAACAGACTGAGCCACCCAGGCATCCCATCACTTCTTATTTCCTTTAGGGAATAAACCAGCAGTGCAGTCTACCTTTAATTCTTTTTCTCTTGGTATTCCTGATTTTACTTTATCATGTGGCTGATCAAGAGGCAAATTACTCTTTCTTGCTTCACTGTCTTCAAGCAGAGGAACATAGCCAAAACTGTTATCTGCAAGACAAAAACCTCTTGGATATAAGTAGGATATCCCTGTTTTTGGTACCAGCTGAAAAAATAAAAACAAATCAGAAACCTAATTTTAAAGAAATTTTAAACTATGAGTTTCAGAAATTCTTAAGATAAAACTTACCTTGACAACTTAAATTTGCCCATTTAGATTTTTTTCCATTCCCACAAAACTACACTCCCAAATCAGTGGTATAAAAACTATGTAGAATTTAGAAAACTAGAAGCTCTTTGAGGCCTACCATCAACAATAGCAGTGAAACTTGTAATAAGCAGTATTTTCAGGTGTGCACTTCTTGTTTAAGACAATCATTTGCATAACTACTCCATACTTATTATAGGAAAATTAGAAAATGCAGACATACCAAAAATAAATAAATAAATAAATAAAAGCTGCTCACAACCTTTATGACCTGTGAATTATTCCTGTCAAAATTTTAGTTTATATTTTATCACAGTTTTTCTTTTCCAATACATATAAATTCATACAAGAATCTTTTTTGTTGCACACAAAAAATAAAATTATATATATATGTGTATATATATATATATATATATATAAAATCTTGTTTTGTTCTTTCCTATATATAATAGACATGTCTCATGTTAGTAAGTTAACATCTATTACCATCGCTTTTTCTACACAGCTGATGATTATATGAAAGACTATAATTTAACTGTTGAACATTTCATTATATCTGATTTTTCATTATTAGAAGTTATACTGTGATAAGCATCCTTACATACGTATCTTTGAGTATTTGAACAAACATTTTCTTATGGCATATGGTTAGGACTTGAATTTTTTGTTTAAAAGGCACAGACATTTAAGAAAGCTTTCACTACTTACTGGCAAATTGCCCTCTAAGAAGTTTTATCAACACAGAGTTCTACAAGAATGTTCATTTTCCCACACCCTGGCAAGTACTCATTTCGTAAATGAAAACATGTAACTGCACCGTAATCATTAAAATATCAGAACTACTGAGAAACAATGGAGAAATAAAATAGAAAAACTTGATTTCCATCTTTCTGTTCTTCAAGAGGTTTAAGAAATACGTAAAAAATAAATATGAAGATACCTTGACTGGAATTCATAAGAAGTAACTGTGATTTCAGCTTGTCAATAATAGTTTGTTGAAGTGACAGCTGTTCCTGTTGCTCACGTATTCTCTGCTCATAGTTTTCAGTCTGTGGACATAAAAACCATTCAGCCTTATATTTACTGACAGATGTGTGTACATACATCTACTGTCCATTAAGAATTACATATAGATATGGTTTGCCCTATTGCCATTTCCCAGGTAGTGAGCATGTTATTTGTGAGCCAAAAACCAGATCCAACAATACAGTAATAATCATTATAAACATCACTGACATAAAACACTGTAAAATTTAAAAAGTCACTTTAATTAGAGAAATTTCAGTTAATAGTTCAACTCTTGGTCTTTCAGTTAGGATAAAAATTGTAATTTAGAATTCAGTTCTTAATGGCAGCAACAAAAAAAGCATGAATGACAAAATGGATTCATTCTATCATTCTATGCTGCTGTATAAAAATACCTGTAACTTAAAAAATGTTAACATTTCACGTCTCTTAAGTAAAAACACTTTTGAATTTGTACTCAGGGTATAAAATCACAAAGAAAGTAGCTCTGACTAAAACCCTATGAAAATTAAAGGGATGAGTACAAATTACAAAATTATACTGACCAAAAACTTATTTTCTCAGATTAAGTTTTAAGAAGTCAAGAGAATATGTGCTTAATCCTTACTGGATATCTTAAATATCATAATTTCCCTTATATTTTTAATCCATTCATCTTGCTATTTTATTGCAGTGGCTGTGAAAATTACGCAATGAAAAAAGACAGCAGTTTGTATTAGAGAATACAGATGTTAACAAACCTTCAAGCAAATTTGAAAATGCTACATTACAATTACCAAATTAGTACAAAGTCTTAAAAAATATCACCAACAAATAACAGAGAATTCTTTATCAATTTTTATCACTGGTGCAACAATAAATGACTAAATTGTAAATTCCCTGAATATAAAAGAAGGTCCTAATAATCTTGGAATGTCCTTCAGTACATACTAAGTATTTGATTTTGAATTTTTTTTTAATTCAGAGTTCAAAATTAATGAAATTATTCTTTTCAGAGACCAGTAAGCTTAAAGTTCTTTATAAATTATATAGCGGTTCCTAGATTCCCAAAATACATTAGCTTAGGAAATTACAGCAAAATACCACATTTTGCCAAACAAAAGGTGAAATTCTATAAGTAATACACTTCAAAGAAGAGTAACAGACAGAGCTGATAAGTAACTTAAGTGGTTCATTTTCTTTGCATGTTGCCTGAGGGTAGTGTTATAGGACTTGATACTCCCATTAAACTTTGCAAAGTAACTTTTACATAGGAGATATTTAGTACATGCTTGTTGAAAAAAAAATAATGGAAATAAAGAATCCAAGTTAAAAAAAAAAAGGAATCCAAACTTTATTATTGCAAATAGAAGAACGTATCTTGTTAATCCATATGGGTCACATATCCTACGATTATGAGTCTCAGAACTAAACCTTAAATACCAAAATCCAGTCTAGGGCCATGCCTCTCAGGACAAGACATCTCTTTCCTAGATAAATTTATACCCAAAGTCCCTAGAAAGAGTGAGTTGGCTGACTGAAAGGAGGATTTAAATGTCTATAGCAAATTCTGTAATACCTAAATTTACCTGGGCTGCACAGAGCTACCAGGATGAGGAATCAGCAAACATGCTGATGTTACTTCCTCACTATCTACTTCTGTGTATTTACGGCTTTTTCCAAAGAACTCAAAGCTCTTCATAAATACTAACCAATAATTGCCCATTCTTTCATCACTATGTTTTGATAGGTAAAAATATTCTATTATCCAGACACTAAGTAACCAGTATAAAAAACTTAGCAAGTTAGAGATAGGCCCAGAATGAGTGTGTAAGTGATTCAAACTTCAGCCTATTCTTTTTCTACTATATATTTTTTCCCCACCTGCATGGAAAACCAAAGGACTCGTATTTTCTTTTGGAACCAAGTCAGAAGGTTCTGCCAGGTAATATTCATCTTTTATCTCTGGCTTAAAAACATACTTTAGCATACCTGCATATAAAATATTATAATAAATGAATAATGCTGAAAATGTAGTCACTGGATGGGAAAAATCAACAACTCTTTCAAGTTAAAGTTTTGAACTATTTCTTAAACCACTTAATAAAGTACTTTGTAAACTCAAGCAAATTCTGTAATAAATTAAAAACTGATATTCTGGAAATACAGCGGGGGAAAAGAAGAGCAATGGCCCTTGTTCTCTTACTGCTTTTTCCACATACTTAAAGCAATTGTAGTATTCTAGTCTCATTATCTATACTTCTGATTTCACTTTAGACTATGATCTCTTCAAGAGCAGAGACTATTTTCTTCTGGTATCTCTAGAGTACAGCAGAGTGGCACATTTTGAGATGCTAAGTATTAGTTGAATAAATAGACTTTAAGTTGTTAATTAAGTTGTTAATTATCAGAGAAATAGACTTCAGAAATAACTTAAGAAGCTACCTGAAAGAATGGAGAAAGGCTTTGCTTATATTTTATAAGGGAAACAGGAAAAATAGGAGACAGGTCACTAGGTGAGTAAGAGAAAAGGAAATTAAGTTTGAGAAAATGGGTGCAAAAGATAGGCAATGTCTGAAGATCTTTTCTTTCTCTTTTTTTGGGGGGGGGGGGCGGGGGAAAAAAAAGGGAAGCTTTTACCGTCAGAAAAAAAGGTACCATTTCAAGAAAAGAAAATACATACTCAGAAAATAGTATAAAGATTTTGACCACAAGGCTATAAGATGGAGAGTCCACAAGAAGATATTGATTCAAATTCAGAAATAACCAGTAGAATTCAGTTTATTTGTTATATTTGGAAACTGAAACAAGAAGGTTTCTTTCCTTTTTATTAAATGCTTTTTGTTCACTGAACAGATCTGAATAAACTTATAACCTGAAAAGTCCTTTTAAAAGGTCAGATAATTGTTGCACTGTCACAGTATTTTTTAAAAAACAACACAATTACAAACCAAGTACATTCCAGCCCGATCAAAGATCCCACAAAACAGAAAAATCACTAACAACCACATTGAAAATGTACAACAGCAATGTCTTGTCAACACGTCTGTACAGAGCACAGACATGACAGCTAAAACAGACAGAAGAGAAGATGCTTTTGACAGCCAGTGTGTGTGAATGATTCTTTGAGTCAGATGGCAGCAACAAGTTACCAACTAGGAGATCTGCATGACAACTAACCATCCATCTGTATCAAACACCATCTGGCCAAGATGACTCTGGCTTCTGTGTATTTGACACTCCTTCCAATTCCAAAGACTAGCAAAACAAGTGGTCTACCAGTATCTGAAAGAGGTAAACAGGTACTTAGGTATTTGTGCCATAATGCACTTATATTCTTTCTTAGTGTTCAAAAGCAAAGCTGAAAACAATGCTGATCAAGTATGGTATACATTTTAAATTTATTAAAAATGGTTGTCCATACATGCCTTCCTTGATTATCATAAACAAAGCAAAAAGATTATCTTTAGAACTGTCCCTTTATCCCGGGAAATTTCAATCCACCTTTAAAGCTAAGGCAGCATATTCTCTATAATTTTGGATATACAGCTGCTCAAGTTTTCATGTGTTTTATAAATATTAAAAGAGTTCTGTAAATTGTTTTTTTCCCTATTGCTGACACTGAAAATTCTCATTTTTAAAATATCTTTCAAAGCACTTATTTCCTAGATGAGGGAAAAAAAGTTCAAGTACCCTTACGTCATTGATGATACTTGCTAAGGGTCAAACATTATCTCTTTTCATCCTTAAAAACTAATCTCAATATTCTGAAAAATACCACTGTTTTCCTCCAGGTATAAGAAGTATAGGAATTTAATAAATTGAATGGATTAAAAAAAAAAAAAAGAATCTCAATGTAAAAATCTTTCAGACTGTTCCAAGATTAACAGAGAGAACAAAAGCTTTGTAGAATGCTACCACAAATGTTCTCAATACGGAAGCTCCACAGTTCTTGAAGGAAGACAATTAAATAATAACTGTCTCAATACACAGCACTTTGATCACAAACTGTTTTATCTTGAAACTCTGGTAAACTAAACATCAACTTCAAGTTAAAAAAAAAAAGATTGTATAAGATTAGCAACTCAGAGATCCTATTTATACAGCCTATTCTTCAACCATTCTCTGCTATATTTTCTTATTATAACTAGGTTATAAACCCTGCCCTCCCCCATCCTCCTGGCATCAAGTCTTACCTAGACCTGCAATCTGACAGACCAAATTATCAATGCGAATTATCTACTACTCAGTGCTGCCACCAATTTCTCAGCATGCCAAATGGTAAACTATGACAAGCTATTTTTATTTTGCAATCTTGTGTTTTGGTTCTGATTACTTATTAGCCTTTTTGAGGTTTGGTTTCTCTCTTCCTGAAATGAAAATGGTATTTACTTGAAGGACTGAAGGAAATGACATGTATAAATTATGTGGTACATACTAAGCTCTTTGCAAATGTTAGTTCTTTCTTTTAATAATGAGCAAGGTATCTACATAATACCTGTTACCATAGCATGTAGCTCTATTACCCCTGAACATGGACAATTTGTCACCAGACTTACCACACAACTTCCCCATGCTCTAAGCCAGTTTTCTCAGTCTTTCTTCTAGTTCATTGTAACCCAGGATTCAGAAGTTTCTTTTTGAGAAAGCAGTATGGTACCTCCATTGAATCAAAAACATTCTGTCAAGCAAAAAAACTAAGAGCCCTGGTTGTTCAAAGTTTACAAAGAGAAAAAATAGTCAAAAATGATTACGGAACCATTAATGGCTGTTAAAAATTACAAAAGTGGCACATTTGTTGAGAAAATGCACAAAACAACAAAATGTCTACTATCACTACCACCACAAAACCCCACATGTACAAGGTAAAGAGTAAGTCTTTCCCTTTACTATGCCTTTCATTCCTCCTCAGAGGTAACTACTGATACTTTGGTCTATATCCTTTGGGAACTTCTGTGCATATGTATATGTATTCTACTTCTTAAAAACTGTGAACTGTTCCGCAATCAAAATTTTCAACAATACACGATCATCATATGATCAT